GGGAGGAACAAAGTGGCTTGGCCTGTATTGTTGTCTGCAGCAAAAGGATTGTTCTCCTCTCAACCACTCCATTGACCAACACAAGGTCCCTGTTCGCAAAGTGGACAGTAAGGTTTTCTTTTCTCTGGTCATGTACTAGGCAATAACGGTTGAGTACCACAGTGTAACAGCTATTCCTAGCTTGCAGTGTTTTCAGTGATATGCAGCTCGCCTTTAAAAATGGAACCATTGGCATAAAATCCAGAAGGTCCTGGTGATGGCAAGTGCTTACACTTCTATAGATGCACAATTCCGTAAGAAAGCCAGCCGTGAACCCAGTTGTACAATGAATGAGGTGAAGAACAGGAGATTGCATGAAAAAAGTTGCTCCAAGCCGTGGCAGATCGGATGTTATGAATTTCACTTGATAAAGCATTAATAGCAAATGGGGAAATTCTGCCCCATGTTCCATCCAAGAGCTTTTTTATTAGATATCTAACAACTTACATTTATGTAGCTTTCTTAACGCAGTGAAATGTTCAAAGGCTCTGGATAGGTGACTAATTAAACAAAACTTGACACCAAAACAACTGTGAGGAAGATGATCAGACATTGAGTCAAAGTCCTCATTTTACAGAATATCTTGGAGAAGAAGAGAGGCTGAGAGGTTTAGACATAGGAATTCAAAGACTAGGGCAACTGAAGGAACGAACACCAGTGACGTCGTAATTAAAATCTATAATACTCAAGAGGACAGAACTGGAGAAGCAAAGGTATTTCAGAGGATTGTAGGATTTTAGAAATGATAAAGGTAAAGAGAAGGTGGCTAAGAAGGATTTTGAAAACAAGGATAAGAGTTTTAAAATCATGGTGTGGCTAAACTGGGAGTTAAGCTAGTCAGCAAGCAAAGAAATAATGGGACTTGTTGAGAGTTAGAACACGAGCAGCGGCACTTTGGGTGAACTCAAGACTATAAAAGGTAGAATACGGGAGACCAGATATGCTTGCATTGAAGTTGTGAAATCAAGAAGTCATGAATGAGGGTTTCAGCTGCATATGGGTTAAGACAGAGGCAGTGCTGGGCAATGTTACAAAGGTGAAATAGATGGTTTTGAAAGCTTGGATACATGATCATAAAGTCCTCTTGAGGTCAATGTAACACTAAAGTTGCAAGCAGCTTGGTTTAGAGTTACCAGTGAAGTAGATTGCTTGGAAATGGAATTTGCAGCTGCGACTGAAGACAATGGCTTTGGACTTCTTAGCATTTTGTGAGAAGAAATGTTTTGTCAGATGAACAGACCAATAACAAAAACAGAAATTGCTGGCGAAACTCAGCAGGTTTGGCAGTATGTTTGGGAAGAAAGCAGAGTTAACATTTCAAGTCCAGAAACTCTTTGTCAGGTCTCAGATCAATAATTTAGAGACCACAAATGGGTCAAGGAAGGTAGAATTAGTGTACACGTGGAACCTGACAATGTCTTTTTGTATGATATAACCAAGGGGCAACATGCAGATACAAAAGGGCATCAAAACCCCCAATTATGTCATGTAGAATATAAAATACCATTGGTAACGAAAATTTGGGTGAGATTTAGTGAACCTCATACACAGATCACTAAACTATAGTCATCAGGCACAAAAAAAATCTAAAATGCTAATGAAATATTACGCTTTATAACCAGCAGCTAGAATGTAACGTTTTGCTACAGCAACATAAAACCCTGGTGACATTTCATCCGGAGTGCAATGTAGTTCTGAGCACTGTGTCTTACAATGGGTATAACTGCCCTTTTCAACAAATTCAGGACAAATTCAAAACATAAGAAATATGAGCAAACATTTACAGTCTTCTTGTATAGATAATTTCAATGATTCACAACCTTTTGAGTGAAGAAATTTCTTCCCATCTCAGTCCTAAATGAGTTATCCTGAGACTTTCAGTGCTAACTTTAGGCCTTCTTGCCAGGGCAGTCAGCCTCTCAGCATTTACTATGTTAAGTCCTCTTTAGTATTTTATGGATTTCAAAGAGATCATCTCCTTTTCTTCTGAATGCAGAAGATTAAAGATCTTCTTATCTAAAGATCAAGCTATTCAATTTTCTATCATGGGCTCATCCTCTTTTTCCAGGTAATAATCCAATAAACTTTTGTGGCACTTCTTCCAAGGCAGTATATTCTTCTTTGGGAAGGAGACAAAACCATATAATATTCCAGTTCTCTCCAAAGTCATACTATTTCAGTAATGCTTCCTTACTCTGATATTTAAACTCCCTTATAATCAAGGCTAACATACCATTTCAATTATAGAATTCCTACTGTGTGGAAGTAGGACATTCTGCCAATTAAGTCCACACCAACCTCTGAAGAGCATCCCATCCGGACCTATCCCCCCTACACCATCCCTGTAACCCTGCATTTCCCATCACCAATCCAACTAACCTGTACACCTTTGGACTGTGGGAAGAAACCAGAGGACCCAGAGGGAATCCACACACATATGGGAAGAAAGCGCAAAATCCCCACTGACAGTCATCCAAGGGTGGAATTGGACCCCAGTCCCTGGTGCTGTGAGGCAGCAGTGCTAACCACTGAGCCACTCACATTTGCACTCTAACTACTTGCTATACATGAGTGATAACTTTGTGAGAGCTTGGCAAAAGGATCCTCAGAACACCAACATTTTCTCATTTTATAAAAATAATCTGCTTTTAAATCTATCCATCAAAGTGGATGATGAAACATTTCCATAAATGGTACTTTATCTGTCACCTTCTTCGTTGTTTAATCCTCTTTATATCCTCACGATGTTCCCATCTAGCTTTGCATCATCAGTAAATTTAAACATATTACACCTGTCTCCTTTCTCCAAGTCAAGGTCAGTAGCTGAGACCCAAGTACTGATCCTTGCCACAATTCACAAGTTAGTCCCTAACATTCTGCCTTACTCCAATACAATGTTTTCTGTTTGTTGATCAGGATAATAATAATAAATGATCCTCTTCCCATAAATCCAAATCGTGTGTACCAATGTCCTGTGTAGCACTTTTTCAACACTGTTCTGAAAATCCAAATAGGTTACATTATCAGACCCTGCTTGTTACCTGCAAACATGATTTCCCTTACAGAAAACTGTTGACTCTGCCCAATTATATTGGGTTTTAAAAGTGCCCTTTCATCATGTTCTTGATAACAGATTCTATCACAGAATGTTATCCATACTCCAAGGGCAAAATGATGAGAAGACTGCTTGTATTTCTTTGACTATAAAAGCTAAAGGTTCACTTGATTGAGTTTTTTCGGCTTATGCAAGAAATTGACAAGGTAGATAGAAAAAAATATTTTTCAATAGCTACAGAGTCTAGGTCAAATGGGCATAATCTTAAAAGTAGAGCCAGGTGATTCAGAAAAGGTAGGAAATGGTTCTTCATGCAAATGATGGTAGACTTTGAAACTCTCTTACACAGAAATACAAACTTGTTTAATAATAATTTGAACTCTGCCATTGATAGATTACTGGCAGCTAAGGGTCATTATGGCATATGGAACCACAATGGGTGGATAGCGTTAGGATACATTGAACCATAATCTTAGTGAATGGTGGAACAGGTCCAAGGGGCTGAAGCTGTTCCTATTTTCCTAATTTGGTAACAGAACTAAAATTAGAAACTTATGAAGTAATTTAAATGTGTCAATTTTAGCTTCATCGACTAGTGTGAAAACACTTCTTGTGTAAAACTGATTTTGAATTTTCTAATGAGTATTGGATTGCTAGTTCTACAGCTAAATTACAGAAGCTACTCCACCTGAACTCTAGTTACTTTTTTTCTATTTACTATGGTGATTAGCAAAATAGTATTAATTCTTGGTGGGGGGGGGGGCGGGCATGGTGAGGCATGAAAGTGTGATAAAAGATGAGAAACTGTTAATGAAGAGTATTAATACACTTGCATGTCCAGCAAATTTGGTTCCATTTTCAACATACCACTGGCAATTATTTTATTTGAATATGCCAGTGCTTTTTTTTAATTTCATACAAAAGAATGAAGAACAATAGAGCACAGGAACAGGCCGTTTGGCCTTCCAATCCTGCACTGAACCTCTAACCTGCCTGCTCAATGGTGTTATTGCACACCTCTGAAGCAGTTGGAACTGGGGTCTCCTAGTTCAGCAGTAGGGGCACAACCCGTGCAATTTCAAATGTCTAACCTGTCTTTCTGCAAAGCCCCCCACCCCCGTCTTAATACCATTTTCTCCTCCAAACTGCTTAAAAGCCACATGCTTTGCCTCGGCTTTCAGTTGTCAATCCTGACCCCCTGCCTTAATTCCCAAACTCCACTCCCCCTTTCCCTCGAACCCAATGAAGTCTTGGGGCATTCAGATTTTTCCACAACCGTGATACAAAATCGTAACAGGATGTGCAGTCAGATACATTCAAACAAAAGACATTCAAATCTTGCTGTGGGGGAGGGCAGGTGGGAAATAAGTAGCTTGGCAGAACTCATGATGAGTTCCCCTTCAATAAGCAAGAACCGAAGGAAAGGGGAACAATTAAATTATTATTGAAAAGCTTAGCAGTCTGGCAGCATGTGTGGAGACAAATCACAGTTAACGTTTCCGGTCTAGTGACCCTTCCTCAGAACCTAATGTGGGGGGGGGAGGTTAGCTGCTGAAAGAAGCACTTGAACTCTAACTGTCCACTGACCGCCAGTCAGTCCTTGAGCAGGCTGTCGGACTCAAGACTGGCGGCGACGGGCCTTGCCGCCGCTGCCTGCTACTCGAATTGGGCGATCCATATGGAGACTAGGGCGGGCAGGAGGGAGGTATCGCGTTTGCGCAGAGAGACGGAGAGAAATTCTCCCGCTTCTCTTGCTGGAGTGTGGAGGTAGGGCGAGAGACGGAGGGAGGAGGTGGGGGAGTTTCTAGCAGCGTCTGGGCTAGCTCCACCACATTGTTACCAGTGAGAGTGGGAGCTTCTTAACGCTGGTTTGCCGGATGCTGATGTTGCTACAGCTCATGCCTCCCTCTCTGCTCTCCCCTGATAGGATGATTCCTGTGCACCCTCTCTAGGAAATTTTTTTTTTTGTGTGTGCGTGTGTTTCTTTTATTTCATTTTCAACAAAAACAGGAAGCACACTTTATTTTTCCTTCCACCACTCCTCCACCTCAGTCCACCCCGGCGTTACCTGGAGGCACGCGGACTCGGTAAGTCCAAATGAAACGACATTTTTTCTTCCCCCTCCTCTTTCTCGTCAAGCATCCAGTTTAAGGTTGTTTTTGTTTAAATCGTCAGAGTTAAACAAGACGGCCACACACACACACACACACACACATACAAAAAGACGGTAAACCTCTCTCTACCGGTTTCTTGTCATTGGAATTTTGTTTTGTAGGGTCTAGGTAGACATTGAAACAGAAGTGATCCTCCCTGTATTTGGGAGGAGAGGGAGAGAGAGCATGATGTTTCGTTCTAAAATTTAAACGGGGTCTGGCAGTACAATTCACGCTCTCTTTTTGCGCACACAAACAGCCAGAAATTAAAATTAGCTTTGCCATTGAACGACAACGCTAATGGAAATGTGATATTTTGAATATTTAATGGCTCTGTTCTGACTGTCCTCCAGCCTCTGTCCCTCCATTGTCGAATGGGGCTGCTGTAATCGCCTCCGTTCCGGACAGTTCTTCGGTGTGTTTAAGTGTTAAGATCGTTTTTATTTAATCAAAGGAGGAGAGTACATCATACTTTTTTTTAATCATGCGGCTTCTTAAATGCTGCTGACGTCTTGCATCAGTGTGTGCGCGATCGGCGGAAGAAGGGAACTGGAGCCGTGTCTGAGGTGGGATGGAGACATTACATTGTATTTCATGTATATTGTACGAAAAAACTACTGTATAACATTGGAGAGGGAGGAAACAGAAGTATCGGGCTGTATTTGCCGGATATCATTTTATCGTGGTGGCTTCAGTTTGATACTTGGACAAAAAGATTACAACACAAAATATTAACCCCATTTATTTTATTAAGCCTTCAGGCAAGTTCACAGTTCCTGTTTCTTTCTAATAAAGAATTCAGAATTCTAGTATTTTAAGATGCTGATGCTTTTTTTTTTAAGTTCGCCATCATTTGGGCGCGACGTTGTCAAGGGCGCTCCGGCGTTAACATAGTTATTAGAATATGAATGAATGCGATTTTGCTGCTTAGAGCATTACTGTGCGTCGAGAGTTAGAAAACCTGTGGGTTTTTTTTTCCTCTATGCGTTCCCGCCCCCACCCCTCAATGGGAGGTTGTTATCGATCTTGTGTACCAGCGTGTGGATCGAGCAGAAATAATAAAGGGAAAAGTCAGGTCTGATTAATCCAACGAGAAATCTTCTAACGCTGGTTCTCGAGGGGAGGGGGAAGAAACTGGCTCGCTCAGCCGCGTCCAAAACATGCCATCTACTCGTAACGTAATTAAAGCTTTTTTTTTGTACCGGATAAGGATAGGGAATCTTTTAAGCCTGACCCCAATAAAGCAACAGGGGAATAGAATGCACTGTTGGCATTTCTCTCAGCATCAAGTGGTGGGTGATTAACAGGGAAGTGTTCCGCATACTTTGCTGTGGCTGATGCTCTGATTATATCTGGGGACCAAATAGCAAGAGACAGCTTCAAGAGAATGAAGGGGGTCTAGCGGTACTTAAACAGCGCGTCTGAAGTGTCGTCCGCCACTATTCAAAACCCATGGGAGTGTTTCTTCCAGAAGCGCTGTTTATCCACTTGTCACTATAATTTCAGCATTGCGAAGCTGTCTTTTTTTTGGTCTCACTGTAAGAGAAGGTTACATTCTGAAAGTTGTGATTAATTTAGTTTACCAGTGATTGATTCCTGTTGCAAATGCCCGTTTCACCATTTGTAGTTTTCATGCTGGACGAAAAACAAAACAGGTTGTAGTTTAAACAAAAGCAGAAATTGCTGGAAAAAAGTCGGCAGATCTGGCAGCATCTGTGGACAGAAATTAAAATGAACGTTTCGGGTCTAGTGACCCTTCTTTAGATTTCTGTCCACAGATATTGGCAGATCTGCAGACTTCTCCCAGCAATTTCTGTTTTTGTTTCTGATGTCCAGCATTTACAGTTCATTTGTTTTATTTAAGTTGCAGTTTAATATTGGTTAATGGTAAATTATCACATCTAAATAGTTAATACACCATGTTTCTAACAGTGCAAATCCGATTAATGATTTTGTTCTCTCCTATTCCGGGAATGATTGACCTAGTTAACCTCGAGGATCTTGGTCAAATGTCTGTTAATTACAAGTGAATCTGGACAAATAGCTGTCAGCAAGCAATTGACCTGGAGATGGGCATGAAAGCCGTGGGAACCTCGCTGATTTTTAAAAAATGTAATCGCAAATACAGTGATGCAGAGGCTATTTTGTACTGCCCTTTTCAGATGGCCTATCTCTGATTTACTAATTATTAACACCATTGTGGGCTGGAGATAAATCTTAATTTTCATGTGGTTCACCACTCCAAATAGCTTAGCCATCAGCAGAACTCAGTTGCCAAATGGAAGATGGAGAATTAATACTTGCTTTAATTCTATCCTCATGGAAATAGGTGTCAAAGGAATAACCTCCCATTCAATGCTCTTGGATGCAGAGTGTGTTTCGTGGTATCCTCCTTACACTCACCACCCAATTTGATGCCACTGTCTGTATTTTGAGCTTTGGCAGAAGTGCTGAAAATTGGAGTCTGCTGATCAGATTGTCATTTGCAAGTTAAATGTTTCATCAATGAATCATAATGCAGGTTAGATTTTTTTTAACATGAAGACTCTTTATTACATGTTTCATCTATGCAATCGTAAAACATCCTGTCTACAGGTCTTGTTCAGTCCAACTTAATCTGTCTCTTAATCTGCAGCATGTTAATAGTTTGAGTAAGAGTCATGTAATAATTTAGCAATTTATGGGATACCACAGTTTTACCTTTATCACAGTGGGTATTTGGGATTGTCTGTTCAGATGGACTTTGTTAATATTTCATCAGTGATTCCTGTTTTTTTTTCAAATTTGATTAGAAAGTACCTAATACTTTGGACTTTATCAGGGATAATTTCTGCCCTTCCTTTAGTCTCCAGGCTTCATTTGTACTTCTAGACTCAGTTTCTTAATTGCTATCATGCTTAGCTCTCCCCGCAACATCCAACTGAACCATAATACTGCCATTTATGTCCTGTCTCTCACTGTGTCCGCAGCCATAAAGTTAACACTTTCAGTTCAAGACTGATTCTCCTTTTCTTCAATATGTTAATTTCAAAATCGTTGTCTACAAATTTCTTGGTAACATTACACTGTCCTTGTCACCCTCCAGTTTTGTATCTGATATAGATTTTTCCATTCATCAATTTTAAGCTGCTCTGAATATAATTTATTTTAATTCTGTACCTTCAATGGCAGACAATCTGCGTTGAAATTGCACTCCTTAAAATTCTCTCCTGAAAGACCTTCTACTTCTCGCCTTGGGTCCTTCAGAACAATGTCTAAAGCTATCTCCACCAGGAGAAGATCACCTCTCTCCTTATCCCTTCTCCCCACCACACCTTTACTTGTGCACAGCATCATGGGTGCGTTTATTCATTGCATCCATCAAATGCAAATTTCCTGTAATATATTCCTAATGTGAAATATGATTTTAAACACATGATATTGCGGTCAATTTTCAGTTATAGTGTGCTTGTGTTGCTGTGCTGGAGAGGCCTAAGGAAATGTACCATGGAGAATTTGTCTAAGCTCCCAAGGCCATTTTAAATAGCCGATTATACTATCCTGGCTGAAACCAGCGTATGTGATTTTTTTTGGGGGGGTGGGGGGAGGGGGTGCGGGCATGAGCTGTAAATACATCTGTGCTCAAAAGCTGGATAATTCTCAGGATGATGTTAGAATGGCAGGGAGAGTGAAAAGTGTTCCTTGAGGGTGTCATTGCTGGGAGAGAAAGGCAATGCCAGGTCAGGAGTCCTGAAATATATAGGATGAAGGCTGTCACTCATTGCAGCTCACAAGAAATCCTTAGAAAATGAAATTTAAAACCTTACTTAGGCTGACCGCAATGGCCTACAGATTTTGACATGTTATCAATGAAATGGGTATCGTACATTGCATGATTGCTGACCGTAGAAGTTCCTGCCTGTCTGATGTCATTGCTGAGTGACATTTTTGATACATTTCACAATGGTGAGATTGGAAAATAGGGCCCCTATCCTCTTGCTACCTTGTGCTCCTTGTCAGCCTTAATCTGGTTGGGTAAAAGAGATTGGAAGGTAGATTAGCTCCATAATGGATGGGAATGGTATGAAAGGGCCTGATTAGTTTAAAGAAACTGCATGGTGTTGGTGAGGGCAAACTCCTTAGACTGGTTCTTCCTCTTCCCATTACAATTCTGTCTGAGAGAGTGTGTATATGTATAATGATTTTCTCAAACACTTACTTTACAGTCACAGATGAGTGGGACAAATCAGAAGAGTGACTTGTGAAAGGTTGCCAAGACTAAAATCATCCATTAGATTTAATTTTGCAGTTAACTATGCTGTTAACATTCTGATTAGACATCATGGAAATAATCAAAGATGTCGAATTTAAGTAACAATAGATTAATGTTCTACATACTGCAGCCATACTGTAGAACCAAAAAAAAAAACCAAACCTAAAATGTCTGAGGAAGTTCTATATGTAGGATTACGTCTAATTTATACCACAAAAATGGGCTGTTTTTCTTAATTGGCCTATCAAATCTCATGTTTATGCTGCACAATAGCCTGCTTCTATCTTACTTCACAACCAGCATTTCTGTTTTGTTTTCCTTCTTTAAAACTTCTTCTTTATAATTTCTCCATGTTGTAGCTCATTCCATTTTTACTTAATGGTAGGTCAAAGGGCATGATCCTGTTCTGTATTGTTCTTTGTATGGAGAGAGGCTTCTCTTAAATACCTTATTTGACTTTCCTGTATGTATAGCTTCTAGTTTTGGACTGCACCACAAATAGGAACATCTTTGCTTACCCTATCAAACTTTTTAATAACTTTAAAGACATCTGTTTGATCATCTAAGTCTTCTCATTTTTTTTAGTGAAACAAGCCTACCGTACTTCACCTTTACTGGCAGGTATAACCTCTCTCCTTGTACCATCCTTGTAAACTCCTTTTGCCCCTTCAGTAGTTTGACT